TCAACCCATCCTCTCGTGTCGTCCCTAAGGCCATGTATGAAAGTGGAGAGAAGATATTTGTTGTCCATACCGTGGTGGGGACACATTCTCTGTTACTCCTTGAATCTCTACCAAGCATCATACAAGGTCTCATCATCATCTTGAGCGAAGGAGTTAATCTTGTTCAGCGCCAACTGTGTCTTCATGGGAGAGTAATCGAGTTGTCTTCGAGTGGGACGTCTGCTCATGCACTAAGAGAATCTGCAAAAATAAAAGTCCAGAAAAAGGTAGAGAAGGTGAATCGAAGTGAATAAAAAGGCAGAGAGTAGGGAGAGACACCCGATAAAGTCCAGAACGATCCCGGAAAAGTCCAGAAAAATCGGGAAAAATCCAGAAAAATTCAGAAAAGTTAAGGAAATGTCCAGAATAACTCCGAAAAAGTCCAGGGAGTTCTGAAAATGTCCAGAGAGGTCCCGAAAAATCCAGAACAAGTCCAGAAAAGTCCAGGGAAATACAAACATCAAAAATAATAAACAGAAAAATCAAGAAATAAAAGAAATAAGGAAAAATTGACTCAAGAGAAAAATAAAAATCACACAAACACACAAAGAAAAAGGAAGTGAACAAACACACAAAAAATCAAACCGAAAAAAAATCAAAGACTCCGGAAAGACTACCTAGAGTCAATCTTATCCTAGGTATGGAAACCGTAAAAAGTCCCCGGCAACGGCGCCAAAACCTTGATCACTTGCGTGACGAGTCTTAAATTTGTAACCCGAAACACAACTAATCCGCAAGTATACGGATGTCGTAGTACCGGGGTCGAACACAAGGACTTAAGCGGTTAAGCTAGGAATCGACTAAAACTAGGAAAATGGTAAAAATAAAGTTGGAGAATTGTTTTTGGTGGTTTTCAAAATTGCAGAAAATTAAATGAGAGAAATAAAATCAAAGCAAGCAATAATTCAAGAGGAGATAATCGATGGGAAAGGTTATGAGAATCGGGTTTCACCGATCATGCAAGGATGCCGTAAGGGATTATGGACCTAGATCATGCTTGTTCTAAAGTGAGGGATTCCAAGACTAAAGTCGGGTTCGGTTCTCTCAAACTGAAAACCCGCTATCCAAGAGAGTATTCTATCCACTTTCGTGGCTTAGAGTGAAACTCCCGAATGCATTAAATTCCCTTGTCACGATCCTAGATAGAATCGAACCGAATTTCTTCGCATTCAATCTCAACCCATTTCAATGAATGCACCAAGAATCAAGAATCCATGTCTCCATGAAATTCTCAATCATAAATTCTACCCATAAGATTTTTATCCAATGGGAAGCACTAAACACCATTCATTAAACTCTAGCAATCAAACCCAAACAATTTCATCACTCAATTCAACAAATCCTATGTTTCCCTAAACATTCATTCAAGAGAGATGAGAGATAATCATGAAGAACAAAATTTCATTCATTGCAAGAGTTTGAAAGCATAAACAAGACACAATCTTGGGTCCAAAGGTTAATACAAGCATCCTTACATGAGGGCTAATCCCTCATCCCACAACAAGAAACTACTCACACATCTTGTTCATAAACACAAAATCAACAAGATGAAGCATAGAGAGAGAAAGGGAAAGGGATGCTCAATGATGTCTTCAATCTTCAATCCAAGCAAATCTCTTTATTCCTCCCTCAAGAATTCGGCCCTAGGTCTTTTGGAGGAGAGAAAATCGCCTCCCTTCTGTTCCCCCAAATCGAGCTCTCTCTCAAAAGTCCGAAAAATCATACCTAAATCAGTTCCAGGTCACGCGGTCATTCAATCTCAAACCAAGGTTTGGTCCGGCGGACCGAGAGTAAATGAGGCACGAGAACGCGGCGCAAAAAAATGGTCCTGGTCCGGCTGACCAGGATTGGTCAGCTCCGGACCAGGTCTTCAGTTGGTTCACTTCGGCAGACTGGGAAAACGCTGGCGGACTGAGCTTTGTGCGGAAATGTGCTGGTCCGGCGGACCAAAACTGGTCAGCTCCGGACCAGGTGCACTTCGGATCTGGTCAGGTCCTCTTCGGTTCGACGGACTGGCTGACTGAGAAGGCATGTGGTCCTAGTCTGGCTGACCAAGATTAGTCAGCTCCGGACCAGGCGTTGATTTTTACACGGTCAGCTCATCTTCGGAGTGGTTCGGCGGGCCGGTGGGCACGTAACACACCTGGTCCGGTTGACCAGGATAGGTCAGCTCCAGACCAGGGTAAATTTTGGTCAGCTTCTCTCTTACTCAGCACCGAGCTGGCGGACCTGGAGTGAACGAATCTCGGTCCAGGGCTGACCAGATTTGGTCAGCTCTGGACCAACCGAATTCTTCACTCCTCTTTTCGTCTTCTCTCTTCTTCCTAGTCAAATAAACTGTGCACGATTGATCCGCCGGAGTACATTCCGATCAGGGGCGGACCAAGAGCACGTTTTCTTTGTTTCCCGTCGAATTTCTGCATATATATATATATATATATATGTATTGCTTTCTCTAGCTCCATGAGAGCTAGAACTCTGGGTTATGCCCGAGTTCAGTTCCTAAGCAATTAGCTTAAAACGTTGATACGCAACGTTTCAAGTCAGTAGCAACAGTAGCCATGGATTAAACATCGGAGACCTGGGCAGCTTATCCCTTACTGATCATGTATAATTATGTACTTATGATACATTTATGCTTTTGGGAAATGGTCTTGTGTTATATCGGTGATAGACTTTAACGGTTTGTAATAATGTTATTGCTATCACTTGTCTATGTATAATTATAATTGGAATAATATATCATATACGAATGTATGGGTGTTTTTCTTCCGCTAACTCTGAAAAAGAAAAGTTTTAAATTCCCACAGAATTTTGGAATTGTGTTTTTATTTTAATCGTCAATTCGTATTGTGGAATACGGGTTACGGGTGTCACAAGCACAAATGCGGTCATCCAATGAATATCATTACAAAATGTATAGGTTATCACATCGTCAATTGATCGACAATGTTGTTTATATGTATCAGTACATAAGGATGCATGTATATATATGTATATATATTGTATGTATGTGTATGCATGTATTTGTGTGCGTATATATATTTTAAATTTTTTATTTTAAATTTTTAAATTTAAAATTTTTAATGTATGTATAAATATTTTTCAATTCTTTTAGTTTTTCAGTTTTTTTATTGATCAACCTTTTCTAAAAATTCAAAAAGTTGCGTATTTTTGTTATATTTGATAAATTTTTATCTTTATAAATTTTATAAATTTAAATATCAATGTGACGGTTATCTAAAATTTTAATATTTTTTAATTTTATCTTTATTTTAAAAACATCATCAATCTTTAAAATATTACCTTTTTGTTTGTCTTTCTATATTTTTTAACATATATAATTTCTTTTAGATTTTGGATAAGATTTAATGATTGTTTGAGATAAATTAGGAAAATAAGTTTATTTAAATGAATAATTGATAAATTTGTTATTTTGAAATTATTTTTATTTTTATATGATTTTTTATAATAAATTAGATTCAAATATTTAAAATTTTTAAAATTTAATTTTTAGTTTTTTTATTAAATAATCAATTTTTTGATCTTGCGCAAGGAAATTTTTTTGAAATGGTTCTGAATATATACACAATTGTATGTTTTACAACGAAAATGCAGCGCTACGCAACAAAAGTTTCCTGTTGCAAAATTGCAACGAAATTGCACCAAAATTTTATTAAAAATTTATGGAACGTTTTTGAATTGACAACGAAATTGCAATAACAAAAAAATCAAGAGATCATATCATTTTTATAGTTTCACTTAATTTCTTGTAGAATCTAAGTTAGTCTGTGCGATTTTGATAATCAATTCGTCTTACCTCATCATACCGAACTTCGGATATTAGTAACGAAATACGTCTGAAAGGAACAAAAAATAGAAATCAGAGATCAAAATCAAAACTTTCCTACTTTATTGTTTGATCATTTAATTTTACCAAAAAAAAAACTCTAATGATCATTCATCGTCTACTCATCGTCTTGCTCGAAATGATCGGAATTGGCGTAATTGGGCAAAGGGATATGACCAGATTCAATCATCTTCAAATCTTCGACGAGTTCTTCGTAATGAAGGATGATATCTTCGATTGTTTTGTCATCTCCGACCGCTTCGGCAAGCTCCTTCCACCGATCCGGAGAATCAGAATCGTACATATCCGCCAACGCGTTCTCGAACCGTTTGTTCTGATCGGCCGTCCATAACGAGTACATGTGCCGTAACTCTTGGTCCGAGTTCGACTGTGAACTCATTGTACTACGTTACGACAAAACCGCACACGGGTTATGTCGTTTGATTTCCCAAGTAATACGTTTGTGGTGGCTGGTTAAGTGGTTTTATAGGAGACTTTTATTCTTTTCATTTTCCTTTTTGGGCCTTTTTTTATATTTTGGAAAAATCGTAATTATATCATTATATAAAAAAAATAATAAATGATAATGATTGTATGCAAAGACGGAAATATATCACATTTGGCAAATTTTCAATATTCTACAATTAATCGTATGAATATGTGCCAAATATTATGTTGATTTAGTAATCAATAGAATAAGATATGTTCAATTTAAATGAAGATAAATGAGTTTTCTTCCCTAATGGGGAAATCTTGGATAATGATGGTGTAAGATTCCTATGTTATCTAATTAGTGATAACTGGTTCAATTTACCATAATTATCTAACAACTGGATGGATAATTAATTAAGTTAATTGGCTTAATCTAAATTTGCTAATCAAATCACTAGATATCTTCTCATTAATTAGAGAGTTATTGTTGAATTCTATGGAAAAAATAATTTTAAATATTTAAATTTATGGGTTCTACTATTTGGAAGATCGAAATAATTCTAAATGACCGTTGCTAAATTATAAACCAAATCAGGGTAGCAGCCAAACCATATGGTTAGGACTTTGATTTAAAAGGAGAGCTAAAACAAAGAGGGAAAATTGTTAAATATAGAGAAAATTATATATGAATTTTTATAAAATTTTCAAATAAATAACTGAAATATAAAATTTCTAGATAAATATTTAAACTTTTCAAAACTTCCATATAAATACCCAAATTTTTAAAAATATACCAAATAAAACAATATTCGTTGACGGCTAAGTCATCAATTATCAACGGATTCCATTATAAGTCTAATGCAGTTAATGTTGGATTTGGGTTTATTTGATAGAATCAAAACGGGCCTAGTCCGTGAGAAGCCCGGTCCGTATAAATTTAAATCTGCAGAATATTAAGAGAATATTCTTATTTGAATTTGAAATTCAAATTCAAATTGGATTCAAATCCGCAGAAAATCTATCAAATATGATTGAGATAAGATTGAGATAATATCAAAATAAAATCAAATTTGAATTTTGAAATTCAAATTGATTTGTTTTGAGATTCTCCCCTCTACTATAAATAGGGGTCTTGGGTTAGCTCATAAAAACACACAGAAAAGAAACAAGCATTCTAGAGAAAAAGAACATTCACATATTTGCTCATATCTCTCTCTGAGTTCGCTTGGTATTTGGAAAGCTTCTTCCAAATACGCGGTCGTTGTATCCTGGGAGTTCACCGTGCTCCAATAGCCTCGAAGCTTTAGAGGTGGCACGGAAATCGAACTTAAGGAAACTGTGTTTCACAGGCCTCGACAAAATAATCTTTTAATTTCAGGTACTTATCTGGAATCGCTCGAATTGCCGGAGTTTTGCCGTCGTCAACAACCGCCGTCGCTAACAGTTAATGGATTTTGGTTTGATTTGGTAAAATTTTAAAAGTTTGGGTATTTATATAGAAGTTTTGAAAAATTCAGATAATTATTTAGAAATTTTATAGTTCAGGTATTTATTTAGAAATTTTGTAAAAGTTCAACTATTTACATGTGATTTTTCCATATATGAATTTGTTAAATTTTTATCAAAATAAATTTATAATTTTGGAAAAATCGACTGATTTTTGTGACATGCATCGTGATGAAATTGTCACGGGGTGAGACCAATCATATCGAGGCTCGAGACGCTAGGCGAAAGCGTTCATGAAGGATACGAGCCGTTTAAAAACAAAAACAAAATTTAAAAATATTTCAAATATAAAATATCAATTGTCAAAATGTTTAAAATAACTAAAAGTAAAATAAATAAAGTGAATTTTCATAACAAATCGTTAATTTCGTAAATTATATCAAATTTATATATCCTCAATATGCATATTAATAATATGTGGGGGATCTCCCCCATCTCTGTTGGTTTGAGAGCCCACTTCCTGAACAAGAGGTCGTGGGTTCAACACCCAGGGTATGGAGATTTTCCCTCCGGCCACCTTCGGGTGCTTCACATCCCACATGTGTGATGCCGGTTGTGCGTATGGGTCGGGATTAGTCTGGACCCTTTGGGCCTGGGATTACCCGGTTATCAAAAAAAAAAAAAAATATTAATAATATGTGATATTTTTTTTGGTTAAAGGGTATATCTGTATTCATATTAAAACATTTATACAACAAGAGTTTAATACAGTAAAAGACTGCAGATAACAAAGGAATATAAGATCCCAATGAGACAAAAACATCAAAACGAAATATAATCTAATACATCACGCATCAGAGAACCAAATTTGGAGTAAGTAGCTGGCAATTTCAGGATGTGAAAGTTTGATGGCCGCCATTTTTGCTCTGAAAGCTTTATTGATGTCCTTACGTAGCGCCGATATGTCTTTGAATCTAGAATTGTATAATCTTGAGTTTATTTCGATCCAGATAGTGTAAACAAGCAGTTGCCAAGTAATACAAGCACCCCAATGACGATGTTTACAATCCCACCTTTCAAGGAACCTTGGAAGTGACGTTTCCCAAGTTGTCTGAGAAGGCAACAGTCCCCACTTACTCATTGAAGAGTTATAGAGTTCCTTTGTCATGCTGCATTCAAAAAGCAGATGATTTCTGCTTTCTAATTCACCACCACAAAATAAGCCCCAATGCATCATACGTTCTCTTGTTGAGCATCGATCAAGAACAAAAAGCCATGTGATAAATGATGCTTAGAAGTGCGGAATCTAAACCATATGATTCTGTACCATTCGACCTTATTTAGTGTTGGGAAAATTGCTTTCCGTACCTCTTTTGGCGAGAAAATACCTGATACCTTGTTTCCAACAGACCATACCGATGTGTCTTCTTGGTCCGATAATGTTTTCTCGGAGAGAATGATGTGTAGGTTGATGGCTTGTTCAGATCTGGCCGGAAGCAATGACCAGACTCCGTTAGAGAAGAGATCACCCACTTTGGACTGTATAGGAATGCCCAGACGTTGAGGACCCGTGTTACCAAAATATTCAATCATTGGATCTAAATCAGTCCATTTGTCCCACCAGAACCAGGTACTCCTTCCGTTCCCTAGTGATATTGAGATGAATTGTCTGGCTTTCTCACGTGCTTTGAGTAGTTTTTAAATAACTGATAAGGCTTTTTCGGTTTATACAAGGAAGAAGAAGAAAGCAGAGGTGAAAGAAACAATGCAAGCTTCAATGGCCCGGATTAGACTACGTGGGAGACCAATGGTGTGAAGCACAGCTAGGATGAAGTCCCATCCCATCGAGTCAAAAGCTTCTGCTATGTCTAACTTCAGTGTGGCTCTGCTTGATATGTTATGCTTGTGGTATCCTTTCACAATTTCTGGATCACCTCTCCTCACTACTCCATCTCCATCAATGGTGGTCTTCATGGGTACTTTCTGGGCACCAGAGGTTTGCACCAAGGTTTCCCTCTCTCCCCCTATCTATTCATACTTGGCAGGAATGTTCTTTCCAAGATGTTTGATCTTGCGGCATTAGACGGTACCCTGGGTTATCACCCTTGTTGCAAAGATCTTCGTATCACCCACTTAGCCTTCGCTGATCCCTCGATGCGTGCTATTCTACAAACCTTAAATCTCTACAGCGAAGCATCTGGCCTTCATGTCAATAAGCAAAAGTCCAATCTGTATGTTGCGGGTTGTTCACTTGCCAGAGCCTCGGCGATATCCTCTGCCACCGGCATCTCTCTTTCGGAACTTCCCTTCTGGTATTTAGGCATCCCTCTATCCTCTAAGAAATTATCAGCTGCTGATTGCTTTCCATTACTGGATAAAATACGCAGCAAAATTGACTCATGGTCGACCAAGACACTATCCTTTGCGGGACGCATTCAGCTATTGCAATCTATTATTTCTGGCATTCTATCTTACTAGTGCAATGCATTTATTATCCCCAAGCAGGTCATCAAGCAAGTAAACTCCATTTGCTCGGCATTCCTCTGGAAGGGGAAATTAGAGCTGATGAGGGGAGCTAGGGTGGCTTGGGAGAGGATCACGATGCCAAAGAATAAGGGAGGGTTGGGTCTCAGGAACCTTGCACGATATGGAATGATATAGATGCACTCAAACTTATCTGGAGTCTATTTTTCAGATCTGGATCCCTTTGGGTGGGCTGGATTAGACGGAGATACCTTATGCGTAGCAGTTTCTGGTCGTTTTCCATGAAGCCAACCCAATCGTGGGCATTACGGAAGCTGTTAAAACTCAGGAAATGGGCCGCAACCTTCTTCTCCGTTAACCTTGGGAACGGACGTAGCACGAAGTTTTGGTTTGACCCTTGGACCAAACATGGTCCTCTTATACATTTCTTGGGCAGCCGAGGACCTTCACAACTAGCCATTCCCCTTCAAGCTACCGTCGCCGACGCACAATCTAATGGTGCTTGGGCAATAGCAAACCCTCGCTCGGATGCTGCCTTTCAGCTGGATATCTCCCTTACATCAATCCAGCTTTCTTTTGCAGAAGATGAGATCCAGTGGGCAATGAGAGATCAAATTTCGTCGTCCTTTGAATCTAAACAGATTTGGTTGCTGGAATTTTCCAATACCCCGTCCGTTTCTTGGGCCAACACCATCTGGTTCAAGTCCCACGTCCCTAAGCATGCCTTCCTATGCTGGGAACTCATGTTCGACCGGTGTCCTACCAAGGACAGATTGATTAGCTGGGGAATGAATGTCGATCCGATGTGTGTGCTATGCAATTCATTCCCTTAATCTAAGATCATGTATTCTTCTGTTGCTCATACTCCTGCCAGGTCTTGCAGAACTCGGTTGGAAAACTAATCCACACCAGTGACAAAACAACTTAGGCAATGATCGTTGATCTGATGGCAAGGACTGGACAATGCAAAATTCGTAGATGGACAATACTTACTCTATAGCAGATTGGGACTTATTTGCTTTGGAGAGAAAGGAACAACAAAATTCATCGAGCTGTATTCACTGACCAAGCAGACCT